TATGCACTGTTTTATATACCACTAAGAAAGAAAGAAAGAAAATTGCCAGTTAAACTGATGTATTCATCATCAGTTATAAGATGCATCCAAAATGTTTGGAAATGTTCCCTAGAATTGATGAAATGCAGTGGTTAGATGTGAAGCAAGCAGCTCACAGGGGAGCTGAGCACAGTGAACCTTGAAGCTAAGTCAGGGGAACTGGGAGTCTTACTGCGCAGAACTGTGTAGACCATGCAGATTGTTTGGATTTTATTCCGAGAGTGTTACGAGGCCTCAAGTTTTAAACCAGGGAGATCTCCATTTCAGAACGATCACACTGGTTGCACTGTAGATGGTGGATTAGAACAGTCTCTTAACAGTACTTAACAGCTAAGAGATAAAGGTGCCCTGGTTCTGATGGTAACAGTTGCAATGAAAATAAATGGGTGAGATTGAGGGATATTTGAGGGTAGAGGGCATTTCGGGGCTATTAATAGAAATTACTTAATAGAAATGACAAGATTTGGTAATTGATTAGGTGTAGGAGAGATTGAAATACTCAGAAGGGTGAGGCGAGAAAGCTGATGAGTATATGGGACATGTTGGTTTTGAAGAGTATCAAGTATAAAAGAGTGGGCAACAAAGCCATAAGAGAAAAGGCAGCCTGCTGTGGAGGAGTAGACAGGCAGGAAGACACAGTGGTCATCGCTGATAAAGACAACTCTAGGGATCAAAAGATAAAGGTTAACATAGCCTTGGATTTTAGCATCAAGGAAGAAATTATGGCCTTGGATAGTCAGTTTCCATGAAGAGGAGGATGATAAAGGGGAGACAGGCAAGCAGGGAAGCAGGAAGAGGCAGTGTAAACAAGCTCTGAAAGATTTGGCAGGAAGAGAGGAGAGAGTGGGAGGGGAATGTGAAGGTTAGGAAAGAGGTGATTGTTGCCATTTGAAGAGATCAAAGATTTGAACATGTTCAAATGATGAGAAAGAGCTAATTACACTAGCCAGACAGTCCCTTTGCCAGTTAGAGGTTGGAAATGCAATTTCTGTCACTCTGCACACAAACACAGCAACCCTCTTTTTTATATTCAGTAATGTCCATCATATTAAAACTACGGCTGGAAAAAAATCAAATATTTGTAAAGCAAGGAATTGATCCAAGACCCAAGCTTGTATTTTGGGCCTTCATATCTACTTTGGAGAAAATTGTGAGTTGAAGACCCAGGACATGCAAAGTCCCTAAAATAGAATCCAGAGGTTTGGAGGGTGCCCCCTTGCATTTCCTCTCTGACACCATTGATTGTAAGGTGTATCGGTACTGCATATGCCATCAAGAAAGGAAAATACACCGCCTGTGCACTGACGTGTCATCCCTTTTAAGACACATCCCAGCATAAGTGATGGGAACATAGGAAGGGATGTGCATCTTCGAGTGGATGGAATTACAGTATCAGCCTTAGAAGGGAGTAACAGGTGCGGAACAAAGAACAGGGTGACACATATCTGTATGACAGATACATAAGTGAAGTTTTTACTTGACAGCTTTTATTTCTTTTGTAGAGTAGTCAAGTTCATTTTCTGGGGATGGGGAGAAGTAGGAACAGGGAGGTAAAGGCATTAGCAGCTCAGGAGTGGAAGATCTTTAAATGAATTGTTGACAGCACTGGAACAAGGCAGGTCCAGGAAGTTGTAGGAGTGACAGGAAGCAGTGAGGGCATTCTGAGGCTAGAGACCATACATTCAGATGGTACCAAATTGAATGGTCACATGATTTTCTTGAGAGATACTTAGCAATGTGAGTCAGAAGTAGGGAGTGTAGACAGTGGGTTCATCCTAAACTGAAGACGTGCCAGGCAGAGAGTGAGGCAAAGACCTGGAGGATACTGGCAGTGTACACAGTGTAGTGTTCACCTAGACGGCCAAGTCTGTGTTGAGAGAAAAATAGTGCAGGTAGACTGGGGCCAGTAATGTAAAGGAGAACGGTACCATATCATGAACCACCCCCCAGTGTTGACTTAAAATATTTTTGTAATATTTCTTCTCCATAAAAGGTATGCACAGAACTTGGTATAAACTCATTTTGTACATAGCTTTTACTCAACTATCAAACCAGTGATGTTTACAAATTGAGTAGAAAATCAAAAGTTTTTTAAATAACAAGATTAATGTCCTGGATAATGGTGTTTTGTGTACAAGATGAGGTGAGATTGGCTATTGAGGCATAGATTCTTTTGCACTTTACGTGTCGGCGTGCATTACTACTCAAATTTGCATTCAGCATGCTTATTAGTAAACCCTTTTATTAGGTTATCACCCAACTCTTCTGCTCCTTTTTAAAATTTAAATGCCTATGAAATCTTTGTTTATGCTACTTACTCTAATGTGATTTTGGACCTTCACTTAATGCAAATTCATTATTCGCATAGTAGGCCCAACTGCTTGTTTCCCAGTAAATCTGTGGCAGAGTATGGCAGAGCTACAGATGCCAAACCACACTGAAATTCAGTAGTACAGTAATATCTTGCGTGACAGCAGAGATACATTCTGAGAAATGCATCCGTAGGCTGTTTTGTCATTATGTGATCATAGAGTGTGTGTACACAAAGGATGGTATAGGTTGCTGCTCACCTACGCCATGTGACAGAACCTAGGCTCCTAGGCTGCAAACCTCTATGGTATGTACTGAATACTCTAGGTAGTTGCAACACAATGGTAAGTATTTATGTTATCTAAACATAGAAAACGGACAGTAAAAATATAAAGAATTATTTTTTTTTGAGATGGAGTCTTGCTGTGTCCCCCAGCTGGAGTGCAGCGGCGCGATCTCGGTTCACTGCAACCTCCACTGCCTGGGTTCAAGCAATTCCCTTGCCTCAGCCTCCCAAGTAGCTGCCACTACAGGCGCGTGCCACCATGCCCAGCTAATTTTTTTTTTGTATTTTTAGTATAGACGGGGTTTCACAATGTTGTCCAGAATAGTCTTGATCTCCTGACCTCAGCCTCCCAAAGTGCTGGGATTACAGGCGTGAGCTACCGCACCCAGCCAGTATAAAGAAGGTTACCTTTTTAAAAGGTAACCTGTGTAGGGCACTTAACTATAAATGGCGATTGCAGACTGAAGCTGCTCTGAGGAGTCAGTGAGTGGTAAGTGAAGGTGAAGGCTGAGGACATTACCACGTACTTCAGGCACACTAAACTTACATTTTAAAACTTTTTTTCAGTAATAAGCTTAGCTTTCTATAACTTTTTATTTTATGAACTTTTAAATTTTTTAAAGATTTTTCACTCTTATGATAACACTTAAAAGACACATTGTACAGCTGAACAAAAATATTTTCATTTCTTTATATCTTTATTCTGTAAGCTCTTTTGAAAACTGAGACACAAACACACACATGAGCTGAGGCCTGCATGGGGCCAGGATCATAGTATCACTGTCTTCACCTCCACATCCTGTCCCACTGGAAGATAACATGCCCGGAGCTTTCATCTCCCGTGATAAGAATGACTTCTGGATAGCTCCTGTAGGACCTGCCTTAGGCTATTTTACAGTTAACTGTTTTGTTAAGTGCAAGCAGTACACTCTAATAACAAAAATCATAGAAAATACATAAACCAGTAACATAGTTAATTATTGTGAAGCTTTATGTCCTACCATATATAATGTATGTGCTAGACTTTTTTTTTTTTTTGAGACAGTCTTGCTCTATTGCCCAGGCTGGAGTGCAGTGGCTGAATCTTGGCTCCCTGCAACCTCCACCTCCCAGGTTCAAGTGATTCTCCTGCCTCCGCCTCCTCAATAGCTGGGATTACAGGCACTTGCTACCACACCTGGCTAATTTTTTTATTTTTTATTTTTATATTTTTAGTAGAGATGGGGTTTCACCATTTTAGCCAGGCTGGTCTCAAACTCCTGACCTCAGGTGATCTGCCCACCTTGGCCTCCCTAAACTTTTTATATGACTGGCAGCACAGTAGGTTTGTTACCACGAGCATCACCACACATTAGTAATGTGTTGTACTACAACATTATAACAGCTGTGTCACTAGACAATAGGAATTTTTCAATTCCATTATAATCTTACGGGACCACTGTCCTATATAAAGTCAGTTGTTGATTAAAATGTCATTATTTAGCTTTAGTTATTCATATAACCCAGAATGTACCAATATATATTTTATATATTATCAGAGTTAAACAAAAATACGTGTAAATTAATGGACAGCTGAAGACTCCTTCATTTTTAAAAATACTGAACAAGGGCAGTGGTTCTCATAGGGAGGTGCCAGGCCCAGCAGCATCAGCATTGTCTCAGTAACTGTCAGAAATGCAAATTCCAGCCAGGCATGGTGGCTCAGCCTGTAATCCCAGCACTTTGGGAAGCTGAGGCAGATGGATCACTTGAGGTCAGGAGTTCAAAACCACCCTGGCCAACATGGTGAAACCCCATCTCTACTAAAAATACAAAAATTAGCCAGGCTGTGGTAGCCTTTGCCTATAATCTCAGCTACTCTGGAGGCTGAGGCAGGAGAATCACTTGAACCTGGGAGGCAGAGGTTGCAGTGAACCGAGATGGCACCACACTGTAGTGTGATGCCTTGTCAAAAGAGAGAGAGAGAGAGAGAAAGTAATGCAAATTCCCAGTTTCTCCTTGCTCTTTGATACTGAATCAGAAAGTCTGGAGGTGGACCCCAGGTGTCTGGGCTCTGATAGCCCTCTAGGTGATTGTAATGCAAACCAAGTATGAGAACTGCTGCCCCAGTCTTACTGTATCACCTTGATTTTACAGATGAGGAAAACAAGGCCCAAGAATAACCGGCTGAAACTCTCAAGATCAGTTAGTGTGTAGCAAAACTAGATCTCAAACTTGGAAGTCTAGACTATGCTCCAGTTCTGTTTCCAGAGCACTACATTGTCATTTTTTTCCTCAGGCTTTGGTTATGGTTTCCTTGGTTTGGGTTGGGTTTTAAGAGGGTCTAACTAAAGTTTTGGGTTCTTTTGCCTTTTGTTCATTTTAGTGCCAGAACCTACTAAGACCTGTTCAAGCCAGCCCCAACCTGCCGGTACCAGTACCAGTACTTCCACCAGCACTATCTCCAACAGCAACAATGGCAAACGTGCATCTGCCAGTGGCCAGCAGCCAGCTGCATCCCGTTACCTGCCTCGAGAGGTGCCTCCACGCTTCCGCCAGCAAGAACAGAAGCAGCTATTAAAGAGAGGTCAGCCATTGCCTACGGGGACTCTAACCAGTGTGAGCCCAACCCAGGGTGCTGGGCCTGCAGGGGTAAGCCCACCTCCCCTATCTGGAGCCGGAACACAGCATCATCCCAGTAAGCTCCAACCAGGTAAAATCCACATAGGATGAGACATTCTTTTGATCTGAAAACTGTTTGCTATTTTTAGCTTTGCTGCTGAGCAATAGAGATAGACATATTTTGGTCCGTACTCACTACATACACAGAGACAGACAGATTCATTTCATTTCAATTGAGTTTTAAAAGTTAATTGTCTTTTTCCCTCTGTTTATTTACATTATTTCTCAGATGACATGAGCTACTTCAGCTCAGTTTCATCAGGAATGAAAAGTCTGTATGTTGGTCCATATGAACACATCAAGACAGATACTTTAGAATCCAGCAGTGAAAACTTTTCAGTAAAACCCTTTTCTCTCAATTTCCTAGACTGTCTTATGAGTGCACACAAGCATTTTTTGCAGGGAGGTGACAGATCCTTCCGCAAGATGTTTCTGTGACTGAGTCACACACACTGAGCCAAGCCTCTCTGGTTGGTATCTCCACATCCAAGCCCCTGCTTCTTGTTGCTGCCTTGCCTGCAGTTAGCTGTTAGCTTTCTCTTGTCTCCTAAGAAAAATCACCACTGTTTATTTGCCTTCCAGCTGTCAAAATGTAGATGTCTCTCATCTCATTTCCTGTCAGCTTTTCTAGTCTCCTTGACTTTATGGATTCTACTTTTGAAAAATTCATGTACTGCAGTTTTAAGGAATTTTGGAAGAGAACGCAGAATTTGTAGTCAACTACCCTTCTCTGTTAGATTCTTAAATTTTTCTGTTTCATGTAACAGCTAATAATTGGTGCTGTTTCTAGAATGGAAACTATCTGCTCATAGTTGTGAAATTCAGGTCTGTAATTAGATATGCAAGGAGGCGTCTTAGATTGGAATTTAAAAGGAACGTGTCACAAATCATATTCTTGTTTTCTTTCATGTGCTGCTTTTTACTACGGAGAATAATTCTAACATGACCTGAAAGCATTTATAGCAGTGTTTTTCAAAACTGTGACTTTGTTGTATGGTCAGAACTAATATTTTTAGACAACTTTACCGGGTCTCTTCAAATAGTCTTGACTTTCATCTGCTTACCACTTGGTAGAGGGGCGGGCTGTAGGTCAATGATTGTCACCAAAAAGCAAGGCAGAAAAGATAAACTATATTCACTGACCAAGAATATAGTGTCTTCTATTTAGTTGCCAGCAGTTTATAATAAAACATGCTACTTCCCCAAAATGGTCCTTGGGAAAATCTTAATAAAGACAAGCATTCTATAGTTAGACCTATGTAGCTTGGTGTTTTAATTTAAAGAGCTTATTTTGAAAAACTGAGTAAGAAATGTAACAACTCTGCCTTTTCTGGTTGTATCTGGTTGTGATGTGATTGGTTGACAGTATTGCATTAGTTGTGAAATTCTCATCAAATGCTGCTGGTGTAGGATGTTACTGGTATCTTCTTAGATAAGTACAAAATAAGCAATTAAGTCAATAAAATCTTGGTATGATAATATTCCTTCATGAAATATTTGTCTTTGTAAATATGATCATGTTGGACAAGAAAATATTCCTAGTTCATAGTCCTTATGAAATAGATATTGTAGGCCAGGCACAGTAGCTCATGTCTGTAATCCCAGCACTCTGTGAGGCCAAAGCAAGTGGATCACCTGAGATTGGGAGTCTGAGACCAGCCTGACCAACATAGAGAAACCCCATATTTACTAAAAATACAAAGTTAGCTGGGCATGGTGGCACATGCCTATAATCCCACCTATTTGGGAGGCTGAGGCAGGAGAATCGCTTGAACCTGGGAGGCAGAGATTGCAGTGAGCCGAGATCGTGCCATTATACCTCTAAAGTCTCTGATATCGTAGCCAGATGCATCTTTCTAACTCATCACCTTTCATTGATGAAGGGTCACCTCACAAACCTGCCCTGGTCACCTAGGTACTAAAGCACAAACTCCATTTTTCTGCCTGGCTGTGAAGGCTCTTCATAGCCAAGTCTCCCCAACATTTTTCCCTCCTACTCTCCATGGCCTTCTTTCCTTTCCTTTTTCCTTTTTCCTTCCCCCTTCCCTCTTCCGTCCCCTCCCCGTTTTCATGTTACAGTTGTTCAATGAATTCATATCCAGGTGAAATTCTTTTAGTGTATTCCTGAAGAGTGACCAGATTTCTGGGTTGCAGTAAAACTTTTTTTTAGATACAATTTGAAATAAAAGTTCTTAAAACTATTAAAAGTAGTACATAGGGCTAGGCATGGTGGCTCATGCTTGTAATCCCAGCACTTTGGGAGGCCGAGGCAGGTGGATCACCTGAGGTCAGGAGTTCGAGACCAGCCTGACCAATAGGGTGAAACCCCATCTCAAAAAAAAAAGTAATCTGTAGATTTTTATTGTATTTGTATCTATGTAAATATGTTTTCACTCTTACCGTCACTTCTACCTTAAAACGAAAAATATGGTTTTATACGATTACATTCCTCTAACTTGAAAGTTTTAATTAAAAAGAAGTACAGATGCAGGATCAACAGAACTAAGATTGAATTAACCAAGCAGGGGGCAGGTTAGTAATCCTTAGGAATTTCACAGCACACCATTCCTAATGAAAAGCAACATGAAACTGGGAATTATTTCAGCTTAGCACATTAATTTCTGTGTTTTTCCCAGGTATATTAGTATATAAATTCTTTGCTCCCTTCCCCCAAGTTAAATGCGCTTAGAAGGTGAAGTATTCATGGAAGGAATTAGAGTTTGAGTCACCTTTGTCGTAGCTTTAAAAACTTGCACAGTGTCAACCTTTGAAGATTCGTGGGCATCCTTGATTCCCCATCACTGAGTATTTGACCAGTCACCTGCTGCCTTCCCATGGAAGGAGATTGTTACAGGCTCCTCCTGTACTAATGGAAGACTTATGTGTCCATTCCAGTAAACAGAGAGGATTTATGGCTAAAATTAAACAGCAGAGGAGTAGAAATGGGAAAGTTTTAAGAGTTAAAAATGGAATTTGTAGCATTTTTAGCTGTGTACATATAGATAAAATTTATATACTGTTACAGTACAAGGCAACTGGTGAAATTAGAAAAGAGACTTGTATAGGCCAGGCGCAGTGGCTCATGCCTGTAATCCCAGCGCTTTGGGAGGCCGAGGCAGGCGGATCACCTGAGGTCAGTAGTTTATGACCAGCCTGGCCAACATGGTGAAACCCTGTCTCAACTAAAAATAAAAAATTAGCTGGGTGTGGTGGTGCGTGCCTGTAACCCCAGCTACTCAGGAGGCTGAGGCAGGAGAATCACTTGAACCCAGGAGGCAGGGGTTGCAGTGAGCTGAGATCACACCCCACTGTATTCCAGCCTGGGCAACAGAGCAAGACTACATCTCAAAAAAAGAAAAGAGACTTAGCCTTACAGTTATTTCATTGTTCTTTTTCTTTATATAGCACATGCTTTCTAACAGGATGTAAATCAGTAGATTTGTCTGGCTCTTACAACATTTTGTCATAATTCACCTTTCGATTTACATTAGTCTGCAAGCTTGTTTCTATAGAAAATTGCAACCACATGTTTTGCCATTTTTTAGACAAACTAGTGTGCTAGCTTCACACTTTTTGACTCTTTTTCCTTTTCTTCTTCAGTCAGAATGTTCAGACAGCAGTGCCACACTCAGCTTGCACAGCCCTGAGAAGGGAGGAAAGTACTAGCCTTTCAGAACTGTGGTTTTGCCGTGTATGTCTTCATTTATTCATCAAGCAGAACATTTACTGCATGCCTGCTGAACATCAGATACCCTGCACTGGAGATACACAGTTCATGAATGAGGTGTTTTGGAATAACCAATAAGTAAATAAGCTACTTCCAGGTGTTATAACAGAGATAAGCATAGAGTGCCATATGGAAAGGACAACTAACCCAAACTACAGATAGGGGACTACAAGGAAGCCTTTCTGATGGAGGTGATATGAGCTGAGTTTGAAGTTAGCTGTGCTGGGCAAAGAAGGTGGAAGCGCATCGCAGATGGAGTGACCTGCATGCACAAACGCACAGGCCAGCAATTGTAAAGCCTCTCAGCAGCCACTGCTGGCTCATCATGACAGCGGGGTAGCAGGAAGATCAAAGGCTAGAAAAGTTGGCTGTTGGTATTACTAAACAGTAGTAATAAACCAGCATAAAAGCTTCTTTTGGTAATAAAAGCATAAAAGCTTCTTTTGGTAATAGAGTCAAATTAAATTCAAATTTAAACTATTCCAACAAGTTATTTTTGGGACTTGATAGACTAATTCTGAAGTTCATCTAGAAGAGCGAATGTACATGAATAGAAGAGTCAAGAAACTTTTGAAAAAGCTTAATGAGCTATCACCTGGAGCTGTGATCCTCTAGTAATTTTAACAGTGTGTTTCTAGGGCAGGAGTAAACACACAGATCCATGAATTACAGTATAAAGAGAGCAGGGGGGAAAGCAGGTGGATACACGGAGACTTGGGTTATCATGGATACGGCATTGCAGATCACTGATAAAATAGTGATTCAGATCAATATTGAGTGCTAGAAAGCCATATGCAAGACAAATATAAGAACTACAGAAAGATGATGTAAGAGAATATTTTCTAAATTTTGGGATAAAATTTTCTCTTAATCATAAGCCATGAAAAGAAAGACTGACAAATTTGACTGTATCAAAATATAAAATGTTCTAACAAGAATATGAATAAAATCTGAGAGGATATGTTTATAGTATAAATAGCAAGAGTTGAATATTTCAAAAATACCAAGCATTCCTACAAATCAAAAGAAAAATAGCCCAACAGAAAAATGGGCAAAAAATGTGAACAGGCAGATCATAGAACTACCATAAATGGGTCCTAAGTACGTTGAAAGTATTTCCTTGTAATCAGGGAAGAAATAAATGGAAACAACATTGATAGAGCACTTTTCACTTGCCAAATTATCAAAACTTTAGATCTTGTTAATATCCCTCTATTACAATAACAACTGTACTATTGATTGAGTGCTTACAATTTACAAGATCCAATTGCTTTACACGTATTAACTTATTTAATCTTCTCAAG